ACTATGCTGTTATTATTTGAAATACATGATTTTTAATGCACAGAAGGCAATAAAGTACACAGGAAGTAGAGTCAGTATTGCAAACTTGCAGCTTCACCATGATTCGTGCGCTGTGTCGGATGTAAACACGTGAGGAACTACTCCGGCCTTTTTACTTTTAAAGAACACTTTAAACGGGATTAATAGTGCTGTTTTGTGGACTGGATGTTATTATTTGCGTAGGACTAATTCTATGGATAATGTGGATGAGATGCTGCACTTTAAATTTACAACTTTACAAGAAGTGAGTCATAATTATATTCGCTGTTTGTACTGAGTTGTGTCACTCCAGACAGTCCCCGATGCTCTGTTTTATTGGCTGTTGCTGTGGTTTTGTGGTTACAATCTGACAGAGCAGCTCGGAGTCACACTGACACCACACATGAGGAGCGCAGTGGCTTCAAAATCGCACACGAAGACACAAAGTCGGGTCACGCCTCTCTGAACTCGGGAAGAGAAGCAAATCGCAGCCAAAATGGGGCAAATTCTCTTGTAGTATATGGCGGCCTTGAGTTCAGTTTTTCCCTTTTATCACGTAATTCCATATATATTGCTTCCTATATTTCATGTCTTCTGTGTGTATCTAAGAAAGTCCTAAAAACAAAGATAAAACAACAGTGACTAAGAGCGTGTGTCCAAACCTTTGACTGGTACTGTATATTATATGTACTGCACTATGCTTCTTATCAGGCTGCACGGTACTTGACTTTGTTCTTGTTTGTTTTCACTCAGCGCACAGACCCTTCTCCTCGCTCCATTATCTCTGTGTGGATACAGAGCTGTATTGTTGTATCAGTCGAGGAAATCCCATGTGCACGTGCGGCAGGTGTGTGCACGAGAGCCACACGCACGCTCGCAGCAGGAGGTCCGTCTCTCAGTGCACGCCAAGAATTCCACTTTAAAGCTTTCTAGTGTCCAATATAGTTTGGTACAACACCAGCAATGCTTCTGCTCTCTCATATATTCATTTATTTATTTATACCCAGACCGTGCCCGGCTTTTTCTGCGCTCTGAGCCGAGAAAACACAAGCACATACAGAGCAAACATCCAGGAACAAAGCACAATATAAAAACAAAGAAACAGGAAACAGTGACAGTACGCTTCCTCGCAGACAGGCAGGGTCAGAGCTTCATATACGTGGGTTTGATGGACAATTTGCCAGAGCGATTACCAATTTAAAACTATCATATTGTAATGTTGCATATAACAGGAAGCTGAAACAAATGAAAAGATAAAATGCCTGCTCTGGGTCGTGGTCTTTAAATAGAACAAGAAGAGCAATTATATTAATGGTATAAGAGACAAGAGGAATCAATAGAGAGCAGTGACATCACGTTAGGGCAGGGTGACCAGATTTTCAAAATAAAAATCTGGGACTGGTTTGAGTTAGTTAGGAACAATAAAATGGTTAAACGAGTATGGAATATTGTTACCCACTTGGCAATAATGTGAGTCAGTATGGTCACATTTTCTTTGTGTTGTGGTAATTTTTAAGCAGCTTTTCTGTATTTTACTGAAACAAATGACAATGTATGAATCTTTTTACTGTTGGCAGGGATTAGATTGGTCAAAAATAGCGACATTTCTTGTATAAAACTGAGACAAATCAGTGGTTTTGGATAAAACTGCTGGGACAGAGGACACAGGGCTCAAAACTGGGACTGTCCTGGGTAAATAGGGGCATCTGGTCACCCTGTGCTTGGGGTGTTCTACACGTGTCTCCACGATGGAATGTTCATCGGTTACAATGATGACACAATGCACATACAGTCTGAAAACTCAAGAGAAATACAAACTGGTTTTAAACAACACATTTTCAGTGATCAATATGAGTGTTTAGGAGTTTGTTTTTCAGCAAAAAAGTGAGAGTGACTCACTAAAAAAACTATTGGATAACTCGAGCTATATTGTGACTGTATTGTTATTTAACAGGGACTTGTAATGGCACAAATCACCTGTTGTAGTCAGTTTTTTCTGGTCAGAGTTAAAATAAGGCTAAGATTGAAGCCTAACTTGAGTAACAGAGCTTCAGACAGAGAACTACCTACAGTTAGCTTTATAATACAGGGAAATTCAATGGAAATATTTCTTGAAGATGCCTTATACAACTTAGAAGGGAGCTTTGCCTGGAATGGTCCACCGGGTGCCATGGAGACTAGCTCTGCGGAGTGGCAACCCCCACCATATTTAAGACTAAAGTGTAAATAATTTCCCTTGTGAATCAAGTTTGTCTGGACTAGACTAATCCTGGACTGGACTAAACTCTAGAACAGGACATCACCAGCACTAAATAAAGCTCAGGTAAACACACCCTAAGAGAACTTTGAATTTCCAAGGAATCAAACCCACAACCTCTTTATAACTATACTTCTTTTAGCCTCTATATTCTAGTGGTGAAGTTTAAAAACACAGTGGGGTACTTCTTATATTACACTTGATGGCATCATAAGGTGGAACAGTGTCCTCCTTTTGAGAGAAGACCACAGTCGAAATGTAGGAATCACACCCACAACCTCTTTATAATTGTTCTGCTAGAAGGTGTGTGGACTTTAAAAACACAGTGGGGAACATCATAAGGTGGAACAGAGTGTTTCCAGTTTGAGAAAAGAACAGTCTAAATATGCAGGATTTGTGTGTCAAAGATGTGTAAATGCGATGTTTAAAAATCAAGGAATCACACCCACAAACTCTTTATAATTGGACTGTTTTTGTGCACAATTTCTAATGCAAGATTCAAAACTGCAAGTCACGCATCGCAACACCAGATCGATGTTCTCACCCACCACTTGATACAAATTTAACCCCGTATCTGACTAATCAACTCAATGCAAGTCTATGGAGAACATCAATAAATACAAAATCTTGCTCGACAAATCCCAAATATCCAAGGACCCGGCTCACACAAACTTCACACACACACACATACACACACACACACACACACACACACACCGGGCTTAGAAACTGGGAGAACATTTCATTTCCTGCTCCAGTCAAAAGAGCAGCATCGATCCGGGGCCCAGCTGTGAGCCTGCTGCCATGGCGACATCAAATCCACCGCTTTAACATGAAACCTCAGACAGATGCAAGGGTCCAAACGGAGAAACGATCTTTGTGATAAGAAATGTTAGATGGATTTTAAGATTATTGAGAGCATACAGGGGAAATGCTTTATTCATTTCCGTCCTTTCTATGTATTTATTCAGACAAAGCACACTAACATCCTACCATTAGTCAGATATTAGCCATAGATTTCTTTGAATATAGTGTACCAGAAACTATTAAAAGACAAAAGAGAAGATTTATCTGATAGCCGCTGTTTGTGGTATTATTTTCACAGTGTCCTATATTATGCAAAAGTAACTCTTCTGAGCTTTTAGCCATGTTATAATGTTGTTACCTCATAACAAACATACCTTAAGTTGTGTTTTGTTTCATTCACACATGTTTGAGTAGTGAAATTTAGTGGTAGTTTTAAGGTTAATAGCCATTTTAGACTCAGTTTAATAGAAAGTCTATCATATCTGCTGGTGCACCAAGGAGTGAGGCAGTTTAATGAAGCTAAAACAATAGCTGTAACTTCAAAGTTCACCAATTCCAGGGCTGAATTGATTCAAATGATTCTAGTGAAGGTGTACAGGGCAATGGAGCATTTCCTGTGTTACCGCGAGTGTTTTCTGTCTCTGCCTAAATATACAGGATTTGTGAATGAAACAAAACACAACTCCAGGTCTGTTTGTGATGAGAAAACAACTACAACAATTATAATATAGATCAGAAATAATAAGGCTCGTTTAAGGTTAACAGCTATTTATAAAACACAACTCCAGGTCTGTTTGTAATGAGGATTTTAAAAAATAGTACGGAAATAGCTTGATAGGCACTTTGACCACATCTAAGACCATCATGCAGAGGTGGGACCAAGTCATTGTTTTGCAAATAAGTCCCAAGTCTTTAACATCAAGTCTGAGTCAAGTCCTAATTCAAATACAGGCAAGTCCAAGTCGAGTCTTCAGTCACTGGTTCATAAGTCCAAGTCATCTGCTTTGAGCTTCAAGTTGTTTCAAGTCTTTAAACCAAAGTACCAAATATAGCTTAGATTTTTGTAATTTATATACATTTTAAGATAAATTGTACTTAAAAAAAATCATAGTATATTTATATATGAGTATTTATAGAGTATGTAGATTTGTAGAAATTATTTTTAGTTAGTTAATTTTTCCTTTTTAAATGTTTTGACAAGATCTTAGTGTGATTCATTATGGTCAGAATAGAGAGCACTCAGATTTAAAAGTGCTTCTCAAGTCACAGGCCTCAAGTCCGAGTCAAGTCCCAAGTCACTGACCTTCAAACCCAAGTCGAGTCCCAAGTCTTAGTCCATCTTATCAAGTCAAGTCTCAGTTCCTAAAAATAGTCACTCAAGTCTGACTCAAGTCCAAGTCATGACTTGCAATTCTCAACCTCTGAGTAGTAGTAGTAGTAGCAGTAGTAGCAGTAATAGCAGTAGCAGTAGCAGTAGTAGCAGTAGCAGTAGTAGTAGTAGTAGTAGTAGTAGTAGTAGTAGTAGTAGTAGTAGTAGTAGTAGTAGTAGTAGTGGTAGTAGTGTAGTGGTAGTAGTAGTAGTAGTAAAAGCAGTAGTGGTAATACAAGAATACTGGCAATGCTGTAACACTTCTCAAGTCACAGGCCTCAAGTCTGAGTCAAGTCCCAAGTCACTGATCTTTCAAGTCCAATTTGAGTCCCAAGTTTTAGTCTATTTTATCAAGTCTCAAGTCCTAAAAAGTCACTCGAGTCTGACTCAAGTCCCCACCTCTGCCATCATGTACTATTGATCTACTACTACACAGACCACAACACATCTTGAATCAGTTATTTTTCTTCAAGTTTATCATTGGTTACTGCAAAAATAATCACAAAAAATACTATACAGTGCACAGATGTAATGAAAAACCATCTGTACCTGATCGCAGTACTGGGACTTGGCCACCGACAGCAGCAGTTTGAGGATGGGCTGGGACTGAGACACCAGAGGAGAGACGGCGTGGATCACTGCAGTGAACTTTGCGAACGGTCTAATACCTGGAAAAAAAACACACACAGATAGTGCAAGGTCAGTTATTGTGTATTATATTATAGATTTCACAAGACCTTACTTCTACTACATAGACCATGATCCTTTGCTCCATTTCAGTGCAGACTACATGAAGAAATAACAGTTCTAAGCACTTTTAAGTCTTAGTTCTTTGGATTAAGTCTTGTCAAGGCATTTTACGTGGAAAAAGTAGCACATTAACAGTTTTGTTAGCTTCTACAAAATATCGCAATAAATATCATACTCTGAGATGTCTAAAGTGAAAATATCGTACCAAGAGATTTGGATATTGTTACATGCTTAATCATGAGCCTCCCCTCAATAATGTGAGCTTTCCCATAATATCGCAATAAATATCATACTGTATTTTTTTATCTTTTTTTGCAGTTTATTAAGAGAAATATGACAACCGAGCGCCACAAAATCTTAAAGGTTCACTGTGTAACTTTTCTGGTGGGTGGGAGGGACTTGTGCCAGTCAGTTTCCATGTAGATGTTATTACTTTGTCTGGAATGTTCCACAGTATCCATCTTGTATTTATCCATATACAAATGTTTTTATTAATAAAAAATACCCTGATTATCATGAATTCTGTCTTTCCACAGATCTGACCTATAAACTGGCCCAGTGAGGTCATCTGTCTCCATGGAGACAGATATGTTTAAAGCCATACCAAGTGGCATACCTTCTACCAGAAAAGTTACATAGTGCATCTTTAAATAGTGGTCAGTATTTTATATGTGATTCAACAAAACTCTACTAAAATGATTTGTGCTAGAAAATAGAAAATAGTTTAAACAGTATTGGGGTCGGGTCCTTTAGACTTTAATCTGAGATTATTTTAAAATAATGTGACCAAAAATAATTTAAACAGGACCACAAACACTGATATTGATCACAGGCTCCTGAAAAAGTGTTGTTTAAATCCATTTTGCATTTTTTCTTAACTTTTCAGACTATTTAAAAACTTTCATGACAGTGTTTGATCATGTGCGCGCCATGTCACCATGGTAACCGCTTCACCACCAGGCATTATGTCACCACAAGTACCACACACTATATAAAAACTAGGATGTTCCACTAGTAAAAATACCAAAACGAAAACCTTGAATACAAATGCTTCAATACTGAATACTTAATACCACCTCGAGAATACACAGCCCTGACAGTGTAGAGAGGGGAGTATTTGAAGTACAGACAGGATTCACGCTCAGTCTTGTACTTTTTGGAGTGAGTCTGAGAGCGTCTTCAAAGAGCTTAATACCATAGTGACGGCTGAAAGTCTGCTATCGGCTACACTAATAAGGAAATATGAAAACGGAAGCATGTGTGTGTCTGGAGAGGCTTTTGTTTACTGCATAATTAAGATAGTGAACCAAATGGTATCTGCTGGTCCATACACACGCTCCTATTGTTTGATAAGGGCTACATTATGTTATTAAAGCTATAGCTGAGGATTTGAAGGACTTTGTTGTTAAGCCCCTTAAGAGTTACTTTTGTAAATTGGCGTTTTAAAGAATTGCATTTTCAATCGGCTTCAACAAAGTAAAACTAATGTACTGTTTGGCAAGTACTGCTTTCTGTCTCGCTTCTGCTTTATTTTAATATGTAATGAAGTGAAAATACAGTTGTAAAATACTGCTGCTGCTGCTGCTGCTACTACTACTACTGCCACTACTGCTAGACCAATTACTACCGTAACTTCAGCTACTACAACTACTGCTACTAGTACTCCTACTACTGCTACTACAGCTGTTACTTCTGTAACTACTACTACTACTACTACTACTACTACTACTACTACTACTACTACTACTACTACTACTACTACTAGCTACTACTACTACTACTACTGCTACTACTGCTACTACTACTACTACTAGCTGCTACGTTACTGCTACTAACTACTACTACTACTACTACTACTACTGCTACTACTACTACTACTACTACTACTACTACTACTACTACTACTACTACTACTACTACTACTACTACTACTACTACTACTACTACTACTACTACTACTACTACTACTACTACTACTACTACTGCTACTACTGCTACTACTACTACTACTACTACTACTAGTAGTAGTAGTATTACTGCTACTGCTACTGCTGCTACTGCTACTGGTACTACTACTGCTGCTGCTGTTGCTGCTGCTGCTGCTACTGCTACTACTACTACTACTACTACTACTACTACTGCTACTACTACTACTACTACTACTACTACTAGTACTATACTGCTACTGCTGCTACTGCTACTGCTACTGGTGCTACTACTACTGCTGCTGCTGCTGCTGCTACTGCTACTACTACTACTACTACTACTACTACTACTACTGCTACTGCTTCTACAGCTACTTCTGCTACTGTTGTTGCTGCTACTGCTACTGCTACTACTACTACTACTACTGCTACTTCTACTACCGCTACTACTACTACTATATTAATTACTGCTACTACTACTACTACTCCTACTACTGCTACTGCTACTGCTTCTACAGCTACTTTTGCTACTGTTGTTGCTACTACTGCTACTACTACTACTACTACTACTACTACTACTACTACTACTACTACTACTGCTACTACTACTACTAATAATAATAATAATTATTATTATAATACTTCTGCAACTACAGCTACTACTTCAACTACTACTACTATTACTACTGCTAATGATACCAGCCAGTACTACTACTACTACCAGTACCACCACTAAAAGTCCTAGTGCTACCACTATTACCAGTATTACTACTACTACCACCACTGCTGCTACCACTACTACTACAAAAAAAGTCACTTGTACTTGAGATAAACACAACAAAATACCCCAGTATGAAGCCAATAAACAAATAGAAAAAAATATATTTTGACTGAAATGAAGCAGAAATGTGATGTGTTGAACAGTGCATAAACATTTTCTCATTTATATCAAATCTGATGCACAGGCTCGTCTCCACCCCTCAGTGACTCCATGATCAGGGAGGTACAGGGAGACTCTAAACTAACCCGTATCCAGGCTCTGATGAAACGGTAAAAACGCAGAGACTGGGCACCGAGGCTGTAAACATGTAACATTTTTATCTTCTGAATTTCATCAAATATTCAACTAAACATGAAGGGATGTTTAATCTTACATGTTTGTTTGTTGCCTTATACACATGGTTCTAATGGGGTTTAAAATGGTAGACTGTCACAGACTGTCTAACTGAAAGTGAATATGTGTATTAATAGTCAACAGTTTTGTGAATACCAAGCTTTATGGGATAGTAGCATGATTGAAAGTGTAAACATAGCCATGGCATAACAGCAGAAGTTGGAATTTGACTACCAACTGTCTTAGCCTGATTCATCTGCCAGTTTCACTTCGTGGAAACTGTGTGACCTCCCCCCCGCAGCATTAGGATCCGTTCGCTCGGCTGCCATTTGGTCGTGACGTATGTAATTTGCCGCTAATGGAGCTAACTTCTATATTAAGCTTTTCCCAAATCCTGTAGGAAGAAGGGCAATAACATATTTTCCCTTGATAAAATTCCATCTTTGTTCCAGCTTTAAATCCTTAATCACAGGAATCGTTGCCAACACTCAATGTATGGCTTTGTCTACATCCATCTCGACCTCTGTTTGCGGATGTGCTGTACCACAAAAGAGACCCAGACAGACTTAAGTTTGATGTCATGGCTTCACAGCTCTTCGCTGATTGGCCAGTACACAACTTCCAGGGTTCTTGCAAACTGTCTAGTGAATTCCGATTCCTGACCTAGTCGCTGGAGAGAAATGATATTGGGTGAAGGAACTAGGTGGCGCCAGCCTGGCTACAACTGTCTGGGATTGTTAAAGACAGTTGTTTCTAGTTAATTCTCATCCAACTATACACAACAACAACAAAAACAAGTGTATGTCGCAGTTGTTTTTACATGGTAATTTTCTTTCTTTACCTAAAGGAATAATCAGGCATTTTAAATTAAAGTGGACCTATTGTGCAAAATCGACTTTTCAGACCTTTTAACCGTGTTACAGTTGTTTCCGCTCACCATTTGCATTCTCAAAGTTGTATTTGGACTGATTTGTGCATGTTTGAGCAATCTTTAAACACTTATTTTCCCACTATCTGCCCACTATTGTGCACTTACTTCTTTCTCCAGTTTTATTTTCTTAATCATTTTGGTACAAATGAAAAAAAATAAAAAAAATAAATCCAAGTCCTGCTAGTGTGATCTGCAACTATTCATCAGAGGTTTTGACAGCTACTCTACTCTTTGTTGTGATGATGTTTATTGCAATGTCAACTACCACTGATGTTTCTTTTATTCGTCGTTTTAAAATAATATTGTGATTTAGAATGTCCAAATTGTAACATGATGATCCATGGGTGTAATAGAGTCTTCTTTAAACCATTTGAATTCAATATCTACTGATCCAATCTCATACTTTTACTACACTACTTTCTAAACTATTAATTTGGGAGTTCTATCTCTCAAAAGTTGCTCTATTTATAAATAAAAAACAACAGCATAACAGTATTCCTCTGACATGACTAAAAGGTCTGTTGGAGTCGGCCATCTTGTCTCCTGTCTCTCATATCTGTGACAGGCTCTTTGTCTCGGCTGAGGCACATGAAGCCTGTCACGTCTCATCTGTTTGCACATCACTCCACCTCCTGCTCCATCAGTCAGAGAGGGGGTGATCCTTCAGCGGGACAGCACGGAGGAGAAGAGCCCAGACTGGGGTAAGGGAGGGAGGAGAAGGAGACCAGACTGGGGTAAGGGAGGGAGGAGAGGAGACCAGACTGGGGTAAGGGAGGGAGGAGAGGAGACCAGACTGGGGTAAGGGAGGGAGGAGAGGAGACCAGACTGGGGTAAGGGAGGGAGGAGAGGAGACCAGACTGGGGTAAGGGAGGGAGGAGAGGGTGGGGAGGGGGTGGTCGCAATCTGGCAATCATCAAGACTGTGATTTTACATTAAAGTCTCTGCAGAAAATGAGATCTATATTTTATCTTTATTTTGTCTCCATTATCTCTTAATCCTGTAGACTAGACCTCGATCTGTGGAGAGGCAAGTAGGAATGTTTGGTATCTGTTTTTGGGGGCGACTGTGGCTGTGGTTTTTTATATTCTCTAGATTAGAACCCTGCATTTGGTTTCACATCTGGCCAAAATATTTGGGTCCAAATTTTATGGAACTTAATTAAAATATAGAGGTTGCTCAAGACAGTTGAAAATTGCCCTACAGGGCCTATACATATAACATAGCGAAACAAATAAATAAGGTGTATTTGATAAATTGTCATTTTATTCTGCAAACACAAACTGAAACTTGCATAAGAATTACATAGGAATTCTATAAAAGTTTCTTAGAAAGTCCATAAAGTCCATAAAAAGTTACTTTGAAAGTCCAGCAACCACTGTGGCTTTGTCGGCATCATAAAAGATGTAGCTGTGCTCTTTGACAACTTGCAGTAGATACTATTTCTGATCTTCATTCTTTGTTAGACTACAGTTAAAATCTAGAATAAGCTTCACCCCCTTTCAGCAACATCAACAACTTTCCTGGAATGCACAATTTTAGCAGCTTCTGAAAGTCTGCATCATCAGCCCAGTCTGTAGGAAGAATTGTTAAAAATCTTTTTGGAAGATTAAGAGCTTCGAAGAAACGCATCGTGCTGTTGGCGACAAAATCACTGATCTGATTCCCTTCATAATCTGCTTGAGTAAGAGCATCACATCATTTTGGTGGAACCTCTGAACCTTCCTTTTCCACAATACTGTGAACCATCAGCTTCTTCTGTTCTTTTGTCACACTGGAGTTGAAGAATTCCAGGCCAACCATTTCTCCACTCAAGTACCAAAGATGTTGGCCCAAAGCTGTTAAGGCTGCTTTCTTTATAACTACATTTTCATACTGTGACAGCTTCTTAAGGAATATCAAATCAGCTTCAAAACTTCATGCAGCTTGAGCAACCTCTCAAAAATCTCCCTTTTCTTCCAAATTTCGTCCTAAATCATCTTTTCGATGATAAAACCTAATGCAGGGTCCTAAATGAGGTTATCTGAAACTTAATTTTTTACCATACTTTGATGGACCAACCTACTTCTCATCCACCGTCCTGAAGGTTGGAGGTTCAATTTCCGCATGGACCAAGTTCTGCAGTTGTGTCCAAGAAACTTCAGGCAAGACCCTTCACCCACCTTGCCTATTATGACCATGTGTGTGTTTGTGTGAGTTATTAGTGACTGGTCAGAGGAGCCAATGGTGCAGATTGGCAGCCAGGATTTTGGCAGTCTGCCCCAGGTCAGCTGCGGCTACATAAGTATCTTGGAGTGAATGAATAATGACTTCAGTGTAGCTCTTTGCAACACAACAAGCCTTTAAGAGTAATTATATAAATGATAGATAGATATGCAGTGCACCTTTAAATAAAACCAAGGTCCAACTATGCAAACCATTTAACTCCAGCACTTGGAAGTCAGACCCAGCCAAAGTGTGTGACTGACCTAGTGTGGCGTAGTAGAAAGGGAAGTCCCCCAGATATGAGGAGTACTGAGGCAGAGCGAAGAGACCTCCAGGGTGACTGTTCCACATCAGAGAGCTCCGGGACCCCTGCTCCAACACACGGTCCTGGATGATCTGAAAACACAACACAACATACATTACATACAATATTACAACTATAGACGGGGAGGGGGTAAGGGTCGATAACATGTGATACTGTCTAACGTGCTGTGTTTATATGCACACCGATACCTTATTATTATCAGATTTCTGAAATTGTGAGATTATTAAAATGAGTAATCTGAGTTTAAATCTGACTATGATCAGAACAATATCACATTGCTCACGTCAGATTTTGCTGTTTAGATTTTTTTTTTAATCCCTATGTTACACTATTTCCTGATCTATGTTATAATGTTGTTTCCTCATTAAAAACTTCTGGAGTTGTGTTTTCTTTCATTCACACGTTTTACACACAATCCCTACATATTTTAGACTGAGATCTTGTCTCAGAACAGAGTATTTTGAGCTTTGGAGATATATGGCCTGTCAACATGACAGCGTTTTTTTGGTTGAAACAGTAAAGTTTGTATTTGTTTTGGCCTTTCGTCCACATGGAGCCAGTGTTTCAGGTGGGTGAAAATGGTGTTTTTTGAGATTGAGGTTCCAGAGTGGAGAAATCTGAGAACACTGGTGTTACGTTGTGTTGTGTGGCCAAGCAAAGCGCAGCTTTTGGAAAATGATTATGTCACGATCCCATCGCAGTGCTCGAACTAGCCTCTGCCGACTGCAAGACCGTTGCCGAAATGGGACAGGTGTTGCCTACAGAACCGCTCCCGTCACACAGTATCCGAGACACGCTGTTAGCGCTAATGCTAACAACATGCATCATGCAGATCACGCACACGGATCAATAACAAAGATTACACACGGGTAATTAAACTGTTGGATTTTGAGACCAAGTTATTCTAATAATTCTCATCCAAATCTTACGACTAAAAATGAAAACTAATGTTTAACTTTTGCAAAACAAAACGGCTATATTTCTGGGATACATCTAAAATACGCAAAATTACCTTAAAGTTTAAAGAACAGTGATGACATAAGCATTATTAAATATCATTATCATTGTTAACAGCACCACATATAAGTGTGGCAGATGTATTACATCATTTTCACTCAGTGCTCTGTTGTCGCCTGGACGTGAATATTTATTGATCTGATACGTGTGGATGCAGATTTTTTTCAACTCACAAAAAAATTTAAAAATTAAAAATCCAAGATCGTTGTCATGTGGACATATCCTGATGTAGACATTCTGATAAATCAGGATTACTCAAACGTGTGTGAATGAAACAAACACAACACCAGGTATGCTTTTATGGAGGTAACACCATTTTAACATGGCTTAAAGCTCACAAGAAGCAATTTAGTGTAATATAAGACCTTTAACATTCTGGCATTCAGTTTTCTACGCATCAAAATTCATTTATTCCCTTTTGAGTTGTATGTTAGGAACTGATCCAAAGAAATAAAGATCAGGCAATAATGCTGAAATGTTATCCAATATCTGAAACCAAAGAGTTCGATTCTATTTGACTTTTTAGTAAGACAATCAAACCTTGCCATTACGTTTTTATCCAGCTGACCATTTGAGAAAGACCTGAATAACATAACCTCTACATGAGATACTAAATTGTCTTTCTTTTTTCCTGCTGGCATACAAACCGTGTTAAAGAGGTACACACGATAATTTCTCGATTTAATACACAAGACTGTGCATAGTGGAAGTATCATCACCAGCAGTGGAAGGTAACAAATTAAAAGTAGTGAAGTACTTTACTTAAGTAAAAATTGCAGGTATCTGTACTTTATTTAAGTAGATTTTAAAGAAAGAATACTTTTAATTTTTACTTCACTACATTTTTGAACTGGACTGAAAAGTTTTTTTTTATGATGGTCTGACACCTGCTGAAAAGTTTAGGGTTTATTTTTAGCACATATAATTTGAGCAAACAGAGCAAAAAAAAAAAACAATCCAAGACAATCTAGCACACGTCTGTATCAAAATCACTACATTTGGAGCCTTATAAAACCTTAAAGCACAATATACTTTTACTTCTGACTCTTCAAGACAAAGTACTCTTTAATAACTCTTAATACCTTTACTTATATAGACTTTTTTCATGTGATGCTTTTACTTTCACTTGAGTGTTTTTTGCTGCCGTATCTGTACTTTTACTTCTTTCACCACTCACCATCACACATATTAAGGTTATGGGGTTATATTTAAAATCAGTTTTGCCTGCCACAGCCATGACCCCAAACTCAATGTAAAAACCTGTAGTAAAATTTTTCAATTACTAAAAAAACTACTCATCACTCATCTTTTCAAAACCAGAACTGCGTGTAGTGATAAATAAAGTACAACCATTTTTATTACAAATGAACATGTATCAAATATTGAAGGTTGTATGCTCTTTGTAACAGCCCAGTGAACCATCGTTTACAGAGTTCAAAGGCAAAATGAAAAAATATTCTGAAGATTTTACTGATAAATTTGCCTAGTCTTTTCTAATGTTGTACTAACAGGGCCAAGGTTTGTCTAAATTACACAATAGTTATAATTTTACAACACATTATTTTGTTAAATCAATGTTTAAAATGTCTCAAAAAAAATAAAAAATAAAAATTCCCTGTATTTTAGTTGGATTTTTGGAAGGATTCAGTATCAGAACTGCTTCCTGCATTTTTATTTTTTTTTACTTTTTCCATAAACTGCCACTTAAATAAATATTTACTACACGTGTCACACCAAAAGAAGTCATAACGAGAAAAGTACTTTAATCTGTCAAATCCTCGGAATACAACTCTCACTGTCAAAAAAGGTCTGCACTCCATAAGAAAAGGTGGAGGGTATTTTTGCCTTGAGTCCCATAAGAAGCACTGTACTGTATTGATTGGGTCAGGGGTGAATTGATGTAGCAAAGAAAGTAGTTACTCTGTTCTCCTCATCTTTTCATTTTTATTTCTTTTACACAGGCTATGTGGGGCAAATTTTATCAGAGGAATTTACAAATGGTCTTAATTATTATAATGCACACGTTTAATGAAGTCCTTCGAGAAGAGTTTACAATGTTCCCTCAGTAAAAGTGACTTGGTTTGTTATCCCACTTTTCTTGAGCAAATGATCCTGACAGTTTGTTTCTTGTGCAAAACACAAAGCAAAAAGAGGATGAAGATGTCGTCACCTCTCAGACCACAGGTTCTGTGCTCTAGTACTTGTTTTGGACATTGTAAAGTTCCTTAAGCCCTTGCTCTCTTTGCTTTTGGAAGCATTTAAAATGTTAATGGATCTTAATCTTAATCCCCTGTTGTATTATTCACTGATAATAGTTTGTTTGTGGTTGTTTATTGCTATGGTAAAACATGTGATGTTAAGAGTTTAGAAGTGTTTGTGCCAAACTGTGTTTTTAAATCTGGCATGACACAATGAGTAAATGAGCTTTAATGTTCTACATCTGTTGTACTTGGAATATTGTATGTACTTTGACTTCTTCAGTTGGGCTTAAAGACGTGAAATGAATAGTTCACTCTTAAAACCTAAAATAGTGTGCAAACCTGCTGTGAAGCTTTTTTGACAACAAAAGTTGATAAGTTAACCATTTCTTGGGTCGACTAATATTAATGATTTCACCAAAGAGTGAATAAAATGCTTGCTGGACTTTAAACATGTTTTTGTGTGAAAGAGTATTCACATGTTTTGTAAAAAAAAAAAAAAAAGGAATAATTTGTTGACTCCTACCAAGAAATGATTATTTTAAGAACTGTTGAGTTTAAGTTGAGTCAACTTTTTTTTTTTTAAAAACATTGTACAGCTAAAATCTGCACCTGAACAACATTGATTTAAGCTCCCCCACCTGTACTAAACATTGTTGGTCTTTAGAATGTGGTGATGAAACACAGCAATACCTTACAGAAAATTCAATATACTGTACATATGAAAACATCAGCCCTGAAGCGACTTCCACTGGTGCCAAAACTATCCCCACTGTATCCAAGCTCTGACTGAACAAATAGAGTGGTCAGTGAAAGGAAGGACACAGAATAATCAATGTTTCCCCCCGAAACAAATCCACTCTGCATTATTCTGTCACTGAGATACTGCCGCTGTGCCCTTGAGCAAAGCTAAATTGCTTCAGTAAAAACGACAGAGGTTTGTGGCAGTGTTTTATAGAGGCTATTGAGAGAGTGGAGGTAACAGCTGCTGTGTGGTCACTCATCAAACAGAAATATGGCCCCAGCAGAGGATAAGATATGTCCAAGAGGGAGAGTCCAGCTTTAGAACATTGGCCCAAGGATTTCTTATAGTTTGTTTAGTGATGACCACAATGCAGTGTGATGGATGTGCTGTAATTTAACAGTTTATCTAGCACTTATCATTTTTGACATCTTTCACAACTGAAGCTACATTTAAATGGTTGTATTTAGCAGTTAAGAATACAATTATTTAAGGAACAATTTCCTCTGCAAACAACCAAAAATCCTCGAGTACAAACCTGTTCTGAAATGCATAGTTTAATACAACGATTCATATTTAGGCCTTTTAAAAGTTGATATATCTGGATGTATTTAAAATGTGAACAAATCTAATCTCAATCCCAATGTTTTTCACAAAAATGTTACACTTTTGCAAAATATTTCAAATGTATTTCCAATTCTGAAAAATAATATTGTTGTTTACTGTATATTTTCTTCTTTATCGATGAACCCATTATTCCAGCATCAGTTCTGCATACATTTTTGCCTTTAAAGAAGACATATTGTGCTTGTGACACCCACAGATCATTATGTTAAGGGAAATTAATCTCTTTAAAATGGTCAGAGTCCATACAACAAGGAAAAGTTTTTGTATTTCAGTTTGTGGGGTCAAAATCTGGAACTCTGAGTGATGAGCTCAAAAAATATGAAAATGTTTAAATATACATATAAAGAAATAATTATAGCTACAAATGCAGAAGAAGGAATTTATTTGTCATCATGAGTCTGGCAGAAGCACATTTTTGCTTTAATGGGATTGTAAAAGGGGGTGGGGGTAGATAAGTGTTGCTTCTCCCCACTCCTTTTCACAATGA